AAATGACATGTGTAATATATGGATTCAGAGCTTAAGGATCGGAGAAAATGGCTGCACAGTTCATCGATATCTTTCACGCAGAATGACCGATTACCAAATATAACAAATAACCTGTTTTGAAACGCGTAAAATCTCAGAGAGATTCATGACATAAAAGTGTTCGGACACTACACTTGTGATATATCAATTTAAAGTTTGAAGTTTGAGAAAAATGACTGTATAAACACTTCATCGATACTTTTCGTACAGATTGATTCTTCGTTGTAGCAAACCATGAATCAACGCTTGTACAAAGTATCTCTTCCGAACTAAAAATTCGTCGCAAATTGTTCATTATTTTCACCATGCAACCTTACAGATTTTAGCATAAGATATTCTGTAGAATCAGTGAGTGAAGATTTGTAAAAGATCCATGGATCATGCTGTATTTTTCCACCATTTCTGTAACGTATGATCGACGAATCGAAAAATGGAAATCTTTGAGTACAGCGATCGGAAAAGTGAAAGGTCAATCGAGCGTCTTGAATCGATTGACATTTCCGGACGAATTGGAAAGGGAGAAGTTCACTAATGGTGTGCCATGGTTCGTGGATTCTCAAACGCAAACTTGTACTTTAGCGTTCGAGCACGAATTCGCCTCGATAATGGCGCCGTATTCACCCATCCTTTGCCGTTCGTCTCGTACTCGAGAAGCAAACGATTTTGGGATAAAGAGCTCGTTGAATTCGAATGCTGTGTACGTCCCGTCTGCGAAGCGTCGCTTTTTTTCCCGGATCATTGATTCCGGGAAACAAGAACGACGTTTTTCGTTCTATCCGTTTTGTGTTATCCGTTCGGATTCCAACGGATACTGCTGAAAGAACGGAGAGAAACGAATTTCTTTATCCGTGCTACTTCACACTTCCATTCGAACGATGCTCGACTCGCGTCCCCTTTCTTCGAATACTCTGTGCTTTCCTATCGGAAAATACCGACGGAATAACTGTTTCTCCCGTGTTTTTTTTAAAGAGGACGAATACTTGCCAACCGTGTAACTAACGCGTGATGTTATGTTTTTGGGAGGAAGAAATCGCAGTATATTTTAGGTGTAAGGTAACGCAAGTTCGCGTGGTGATTCAGTGCATGGTATTGCAATGCGAAGATATACTGCGTCGTGTTGGCACACGTGGAGATTCAACATGTGGGGATTTAGCGCGTGGAAATCCAGCGTGTTGTAATCTAACGCGTAATAATCTAGCGTGAGGTAATTCAACGCGCGGTAATCTAACGCGTAGAAATCCAGCACGTGGTAGTCTAACGCGTGGAAATCCAACGCGTGGTGATTTTACGCGTGGTGATTCTACACGTGGTGATTCAACGCGTGGTGATTCTACGCGTGGTGATTCCACGCGTGGTGATTCGACGCGTGGTGATTCTTGTAAGGTAACGCAAGTTCGCGTGGTGATTCAGTGCATGGTATTGCAATGCGAAGATATACTGCGTCGTGTTGGCACACGTGGAGATTCAACATGTGGGGATTTAGCGCGTGGAAATCCAGCGTGTTGTAATCTAACGCGTAATAATCTAGCGTGAGGTAATTCAACGCGCGGTAATCTAACGCGTAGAAATCCAGCACGTGGTAGTCTAACGCGTGGAAATCCAACGCGTGGTGATTTTACGCGTGGTGATTCTACGCGTGGTAATTCAACGCGTGGTGATTCTACGCGTGGTAATTTAACGCGTGGTGATTCTACGCGTGGTGATTCCACACGTAGTGATCCTACGCGTGGTAATTCAACGCGTGGTGATTCTACGCGTGGTAATTCAACGCGTGGTAATTCAAGCACGTGGTAGTCTAACGCGTGGAAATCCAACGCGTGGTGATTTTACGCGTGGTGATTCTACGCGTGGTAATTCAACGCGTGGTGATTCTACGCGTGGTAATCGTACGTGTAGAGATCCCACGCGTGGTAATCGCATGTGTAGAGATCCCACGCGTGGTAATCCAACATGTAGAGATCCCACGCGTGGTAATCCAACATGTACAGATCCCACGCGTGGTAATCGTATGTGTAGAGATCCCATGCGTGGTAATCCAACATGTAGAGATCCCACGCGTGGTAATCCAACACATAGAGATCCCACGCGTGGAAATCCAACACATAGAGATCCCATGCGTGATAGTTCGACTCTTGATACTCCAACATATAGCAATCCAACACGTGGTACCTCAACTTCTAGTAATTCTCATATGTCAATAAAACGCCGCACCATACATTTTCCATTATTTATCGATTGACTAAATTTTTAAGTGGTCAATAATCGAGTGAACTTTCGTTCTCAACTTGACAAACACGGCCCATAAACGGGTTACATAACCAACCACGCAATTTATTCAAAACATTATTGGGTAAAATTTCAGATATCGTATATTGGTATCGCGAGATAAATAAGTCCGATAAGTTGATAAGTACGCGTAAACGTATGCGGTCCATCTATATGTATATATTTTTGATTCGTTACGGTTGGTAAGTATATCTAAACAAGGAAAGATGGTACGAAATGAATCTCTAGCGCATATCTGGCCGTTTAAAATATCGATCGGAATGTAACACGCCGCGGAACCCATTAACGTTTTCCGTAATATCGTATCCTCGATCTTAATGTCGGTACGAATTCTACTCGTTGGAATAAGTGGCGGACCGTATCTCCATGTTCTCATTTAGATCATTATTAATAAAAATCTAACCGTATTACGAAACAAATCGCGATTTCCAATGCACGGGGATTTGATTTCTTTTTGGGTACTCGATCTAAATTAATTTTAACGTTATTAGATCATCTGTCTTGTTACAAAATCGACACGTAACAATTTGGTGATTTAAATTTGATGATTTAAAGTATTGTAGATTTGTAAGTGGTCGGCTTTAAAAGTTATTTGATAGACACTCGATGGTTGTTTTCATCGACGCTGCAGAACAGAGCGGAACATAAATCACTTTAAAGGAACAATATCGAATAAAAATCCTCAAGCACTGAATACCATCGAAGACATTAACATTATTCAAGAGTTTCCCATGGAACTGCAAGATCGCTGGCGGTACGGAAATCACCCGCGGAATAAAAGAAACGAAGATTTTAACATCATTCAGCAGCTTTTCCAAAGAATTATGTTCCCATACGCAAGCAAGATTGCTTACAACACGAAAGCCGTTTTCGACTCGCAAGAACCGCAAAGTGTACCGCGTCGCATTATTCACTCGAGAAATTCCGTTGACTTTCTTTTATTTCCCGCGTAAGTCGAATCAGCTGTAAGAACCGGAGCGTTTTATTCAAAAATTCCTGCCGTTCCGACGCTGTTATTTAAATTTCTAATGACCCGTGGTCAAATATCGCGCGGGCAGAGATTGCATACTAAGCTAAAGGCGTGGAAATAGTTTGGCCCCGTCGAATCGCCAGGAAATTTCCGTTCTATAAACAGAAAAGCGACTCGATACGGTGGCTGCAAATTTTCTGCAAAGCATGTTACAACGTTCACGGTCAGCGCGCAATCAGCTCGGCCAAGCAACAGAAAATGGCCACGCGTTGAAACAAGCTTGACAACTATTTAATCCCTCCTCTCTTAAACATCGTACCGTACTATTTGGAATCTTCTGTGCTTTTTAAAGCTGATTATTCCGACTCCGTGTCTCCGGAGAACAATTCCACGGGAGAATACGTTACGGTTGAACCGTCCCCTTCTACTCTTGTTTGCATTATTTTGCGGTCTCGCTGTTTGGTTTTCCGAGTTAATCGCTTCTTCGGCGAGGATTATTCCTACCATTAACGAACGTTTGTCTTCTATAATCCTTTCGTTGCTAAAGTTGATTATGGCCTTTATGAAATAAATGTTAGTCTCGAAATGTCTAAGAATTTAAAGCTCTAATTAAAACAGAAAAAGGTAAAGCAACACTCGAGTCTATGTCTCTTTCGAGGGAAATATCGACAGTGTTTTTCCGATACCGAATAGGAGATAATCGCGCAGTTCGCTTCAAACGAACTATCCTGTATATTGCCTGTCGAGGATTTTTATAACAACGTCCAATAACGTCAAAAATATTATCAATTTCTGCCCCGAGCGCTATAAACTCTGACGGCTCTGACTTTGATGGTCGCGCATCTTGTTGGATCTGTGTTTTGATCGACGTGAAACGCTCGCAAAGCTGAGGCAACATCGCGTCGAGTTAAATGGAAAGCTTCTCTGAAGCCAGAAAGAATCATACGAACGTTACGCAGGAGGATAACAGAAAATTAACTAGGATATCGGACGAGTTAGAGGCTTACACGGGATATCAGCGGCGTGCTGATATCGTTGATCAAGGATTATCTTCGTCCCGCGTCAAATCGCTTTGACCTATCGCGTGTAAAATCCTGCATCGCTCCGGGAGGGATGAAGCAAGTGAATGAGGATGAAGAGGGACTCGCTGAAAACAAAACATGCTGCTGGGATTTACGTGGTACTTAAACTAGTTGCTGACTCTCTCCCATTACTCTATTCTCCGCGTAGCTTCTCGAATCAAACGTTTTCAAACGATTTTTCGACTCGCTGCTTCTCGATCTTCCATTTTTATCTCCAATAAATTCGACAGAATAGTATTCCTCAATTTTTCCAAGTAATACGTAAAACTACCAATTATGAACCTGTTCGTTGCAAAAGAGAAGGCAAGTTATAAAGAAATTCCAGACTCCGGCATAACCCCTAGGCTTTATTTACTTTACAAACCCTTGCTAAACTCAGGGAAGCCAAAGTTGAATGAGAGTAGAACCGCCCAGTATTTACTTCGAATTTTGGGAGAACCTAGGAAGAACTTATCGTAAATCCTCTCGTCTTTGGACATAAAGGCAAAGACGAACAAGAACGCTCGTCCTTTGACGGTTTCCCTTAGTCGAGGGAAACTTAGGTCGCACACGAGCATACGCGAGATTGATTCGCCTTCGGTTAATCACATTGATTCAGGATTAACGAGCTGCTATTGTTCCAGGGTGCAGCCTCGACAACATGAATTCGAGCGGTGAGTCAGGCGGCACCATGACCGAAGACTACGAGGTAACAGGCTGTGGTCCACCGGAGGAGGAAACAGGTTCAAACTTGCCAGTTTGGGAAGCCGCAGCAGCTTCTCTGACACTCGGTTTCCTTGTTCTGGCCACGGTATTGGGTAACGCGTTGGTGATCCTCAGCGTGTTCACTTACAGACCGCTGCGAATCGTGCAGAACTTCTTTATCGTGTCTTTGGCGGTGGCTGATCTGGCGGTGGCCATTTTGGTGATGCCGTTCAACGTGGCGTACCTCCTTCTGGGCAAATGGATTTTCGGCATACACCTGTGCAAGCTGTGGTTGACCTGCGACGTGCTCTGTTGCACGGCGAGCATCTTGAATCTCTGCGCGATCGCGTTGGATCGTTACTGGGCGATCACGGATCCGATCAATTACGCCCAGAAGCGCACCCTGAAGAGGGTTCTAGCGACGATAGCGGGCGTGTGGATACTGTCCGGAGCGATCAGCTCGCCACCGTTGGCCGGTTGGAACGACTGGCCGGAGGAACTCGAACCGGGAACACCCTGTCAACTGACCAGAAGACAGGGCTACGTTATATACTCGTCGCTAGGCTCGTTCTTCATACCGTTGCTGTTGATGAGCCTGGTGTACCTCGAGATCTTCCTGGCGACCAGAAGAAGACTCCGCGAGCGAGCCAGACAGAGCAGACTGAACGCGGTTCAGTCCACCAGACATCGGGAGGTGGACGACGCCGAAGAGTCCGTCAGTTCAGAGACGAATCATAACGAACGATCGACGCCACGATCGCACGCGAAACCCTCGTTGATCGACGACGAGCCGACAGAGGTGACGATAGGAGGTGGTGCAACGGTGACCACGTCTTTGACGGTTTCCCTTAGTCGAGGGAAACTTAGGTCGCACACGAGCATACGCGAGATTGATTCGCCTTCGGTTAATCACATTGATTCAGGATTAACGAGCTGCTATTGTTCCAGGGTGCAGCCTCGACAACATGAATTCGAGCGGTGAGTCAGGCGGCACCATGACCGAAGACTACGAGGTAACAGGCTGTGGTCCACCGGAGGAGGAAACAGGTTCAAACTTGCCAGTTTGGGAAGCCGCAGCAGCTTCTCTGACACTCGGTTTCCTTGTTCTGGCCACGGTATTGGGTAACGCGTTGGTGATCCTCAGCGTGTTCACTTACAGACCGCTGCGAATCGTGCAGAACTTCTTTATCGTGTCTTTGGCGGTGGCTGATCTGGCGGTGGCCATTTTGGTGATGCCGTTCAACGTGGCGTACCTCCTTCTGGGCAAATGGATTTTCGGCATACACCTGTGCAAGCTGTGGTTGACCTGCGACGTGCTCTGTTGCACGGCGAGCATCTTGAATCTCTGCGCGATCGCGTTGGATCGTTACTGGGCGATCACGGATCCGATCAATTACGCCCAGAAGCGCACCCTGAAGAGGGTTCTAGCGACGATAGCGGGCGTGTGGATACTGTCCGGAGCGATCAGCTCGCCACCGTTGGCCGGTTGGAACGACTGGCCGGAGGAACTCGAACCGGGAACACCCTGTCAACTGACCAGAAGACAGGGCTACGTTATATACTCGTCGCTAGGCTCGTTCTTCATACCGTTGCTGTTGATGAGCCTGGTGTACCTCGAGATCTTCCTGGCGACCAGAAGAAGACTCCGCGAGCGAGCCAGACAGAGCAGACTGAACGCGGTTCAGTCCACCAGACATCGGGAGGTGGACGACGCCGAAGAGTCCGTCAGTTCAGAGACGAATCATAACGAACGATCGACGCCACGATCGCACGCGAAACCCTCGTTGATCGACGACGAGCCGACAGAGGTGACGATAGGAGGTGGTGCAACGGTGACCACGTCCTCGAGACGAGCCGCGAGCGGACGAGGAACCGCGGTGACGACCACCACCGTCTACCAGTTCATCGAGGAACGCCAGAGGATCTCTTTGTCGAAAGAGAGACGCGCCGCGAGGACACTCGGTGTGATCATGGGCGTGTTCGTCGTCTGTTGGCTACCGTTCTTCCTCATGTACGTGATCGTGCCATTTTGTCCAGCCTGTTGCCCCTCGGACCGCGTGGTCTACTTCATCACGTGGCTCGGCTACGTGAACAGCGCCTTGAACCCGCTCATCTACACGATCTTCAATCTCGACTACAGGAGGGCTTTCAGGAGGTTGCTGCGTATCCGTTGAAGATGAACAAGCTGATCGGCTGATTCTCTTCCGAATTCGTGGGAAACGCTGCTCCTCGTTTCGTTTCCGTTTCATTCGCCAAAACCGGGCGCTGTGGACCGACGAGTCAGCTTCGAACTCGATTGGAATTGCTCGAGGAAAACGACGGAGGCTGTAAAGATCGCGGACGAGTCGCGCCTCGGGATCTTCGATTCGAACCGAGAGAAATTACTGGGACTTTTGATTGAACGAGCTTCGCCACGAGTGTCCATACGCTCGTTCGAGAATTCTGTAAATATATCGACGTGGGAATGATCGACCGAAAGTGTGCATGAAGTGTGTGCATGTGTGTGTGTGCGTACGTGTATCGTGCGTGTAGTTTCGAACGACGGGATAAATCCCGTTGTACCTTTTGAGGATAACGAAAACGAAGCTGGACTACGAGTTCGGAATCGTGGTTAGAGATTAAGTGCTGTGAAACACGGTGAACACGATAGTCTAATTTCGCGCTAGAGTTCTCGCACGGCTCGTGTACAACGGCGAAGGTCGTTCCGTTTAAAGTTGCCCCATTAATCGTGGCCTGGGTTAGCGAAGGAAACAAGGACGCGGATAAGGGATCTTGAAAAAGGAAACGAAGTCACCAGGTTAGATTGTCGCCGCTCAGATCGTTCCCCCGTCTTCTCGGTTTCCTGGTCACGAGAACACGCGTGTACCTTTCTTTTCAACTACGATTACCAACTACCTGTGGGGTACGTTTTCCTGTGACGCCAAATCCTATGATTTTCGACACTCTTCGATGGTTTAAACATTTTAAAGCGTCCTCGAAGTAAGAACACATAACGTAGACATTTTATAAATTTGAATTAGAAGTCAAATACAAGTATTTTCAACGTTTAACCGAGCAAACGATTAACCATGCTAAGAAACTATGGAATAAATGCATGATTCATTCGGTATTTTACTGTAATAAACATTGATCAGCTCATTTATTAGTGATACTAGCAGTGTGTAGTCTGTCAACGTGTCAGAAAACGTCGTTAAGGAAAAATCGTCTCATCCGTAGTTTCTGTAGAAAGTGCAAATTTTGTTTAACGGTGCTCGAGGCAGTAAAGCGAACGTCGCAGAGTCCGATTTCACGAGATTAGTGTCGTGACACGAAATCATGTGCCATTACAATGCGATTTCTAGTTTTATGATGACTAAGGTTCATGACAGTAAAACGTAAGATTACGATGTCGTGGGATTAAAGTCGTGACTCGACGTCATGACAATGCTTCTAGTTTTCACGATGATAGAGGCTGTAACGTTTAGTGTCATGGTATTAAGAGTCGCGATATACCGTCACATAAAAACGTACCCTTAAGTTGGTTCTCTCTAGAATTCGTACGTAATGATGTAACGAGAAACGATCCTCGATGCCGTGGGCTAGAGCGGATATATAGCTCCAATTAAAAGTATGCGATCTTCTTTCACAATTTATTTTACAAATTATACAATTCGTGCTTTGAAAAGAAAAATTTGCGCAATGTTAAAGTGCATAAAGGTACGATAATGTTAAATTTATAAACGGTTGTACAGATGGTTAAATTAATATGAGACTTTAATATGAGATGGTTAAAGTTTAATATGAGTCGCGGGTAAAATTTGAAAGTTTGAGAATTAAAAGATTAGTTGGAAAGTATAAAAATGAAAATTTGTAGATTAGATAATTGGAGATTGATGGATAGGGAGAAGAAGTCCCATACTTTTGTCGGGTGGTGTACATACCATATTGGAAAAGTTGTTCAGGGTTTGGCATCGAGTCGATCGTTCCATTTTCCAAAGAACGTTCGTGAAAATAGTGTTCTCGCGTCGGAAAGAGAATTCAAATATCACCTCGATGATATTTGATCGGTGGAAATACTTTCGAGTTTCCTCGTTCCAGGTTTTTTCCCTCCCCATTATATCGTCGCGAACCGGAAACTCGCGAGCACGGTGGATCGGTTTCCGGTTCGCAAGGAATAGAAAGGGCACGGATAATTCATGGGGAAAAAATGGATCAACGCGATTGGAACGATCGATCGAAAGGGCAACACGATTCTTCTGGCCGCCAATTGAAATGAAAGCAGAGCAATTCACGCGTTTACGGATAGGAATTTTCTACGAAAATCGACCAAGACTCCTGTTAAGACGTTTTAGAAGATAGATTACCGTATCCTTTAGATGGTATGCGCACCCGTACTTGTATCGCAGCTATTTAAGACCGTGACATAGGTGGATGGAAGACGTTTTCTGGTCTCTTAATGACGGGAAACGAGCAGGGATTTTCTCGTGGAACAATAGAGAACGGTTACCCTCCTTCTCGATAGCCAATGATCGTTCTCTCGAGTAGCGTTCGTGAAAGAACGTTTTGTTTGAAGTCGACCATTTCCTTGATGTTCAACCTTCCTTCCTTCAAAGAGCCTTCTGGCCAGAGTGCCAGTTAAATGCCTTCATTTCATGGTCACAACCAATCGGAAATCAGGTACCTTGATTAGTCGAGTCAAGGTTTCTTCTTTCAACAATCCACGCCCGATAACTAATCAGCAATAATTCTACTAATCGCTTAATTGTAACGATCGAGACCAAGATGCGCACAATGAAGAGATTGTAAGATTCTTTTTCAGAATCGTCCTTGAACTACCATACGCGTGTAATGATTTTACTAATTTATTAATTCATAACGAAATTTTGTGCACACGATGGAAATATTCGATCGCTCCATTTACAGAGTATAATTGAGAATGATAGTCCCTATAATGGGATCAATCTCGCTTCCACTTTGAAAATCGATGTCGGAGCGTTTCGCCAATTTTATACATATAATTTCGCTTAATTTATTACGCGGCGGTATAATAATTGGGACAACGTACACCGATAGGAAACTATCACATTCTGCTACTCGCAGATTGAAAACGATATACCCCATAATTAGGGCAACCGAATATTTGAATCGATGACTGAATTATAACCGTTTCAACGATTCTGTCTAATAATTTCGATAATCCATCGCTCGATACGATGGAGACACGTGTAGCGATACAGAAATATTCAATTTCTCCGTTTGAACGGTTTAAAGCCGTAATGCTCCGAACGAAATAAACTCTGTTTCGATAACCAAAAATGATAAGCTCCGATCGGCGCACTAGTAATTTCGTCGACTTCGTTAATTCATCAATCGACGATATAACGAGAAATACGAAGAAAATCCGGCAGAAGAGAAATACCTTGAATCCAATTCTTCCATTCGCACAATTAGGACCTTGTTACCTAATGGATCCTTTAAATCGATGGTAACGAGAGCAGCCTCGTTGTCTCTTAATTTTCCATCGAGTTCAACGATTTCTCGAGAGAACGTTCATTTTTCTAGGAGCAATTTGTTTTCTTAGTTTCGTCCTAGCAACGATAACGAGCCAGAGGCGTATCCTTAAATGTGCGGTAGACGTAACCTGCCCCGTTCGTTATCAATCGCAAGCATTATGGTTGTGAATATTTAAATAACAATCGAAAACGTTAAAAGAGACAGCACCGAGAGAAGAGCGTCGTTGACGAGGACGTCTAGACGAGACATACACAGAACCACACACAGTTACACACACACGGAACAGGAGAACGATCCTCGACATGCGACCGCCTGCGTGTCTCTGTATAAAATTACGTTTTAAGTCGCCTCCAGTGTTCGTTTCGACACGCAGTTATACCGACACGAATGGACCCATTCTACTGGAAGAATTAAAAAAAAAGAAGAATAAGATTCGCGCTTCAATGCTCAACGAAAGAAGCTCACCCGAGGAATAATCGCGAACAGATTTTAATCAGTCGCCGGCGAATAACGAGACGCGGCGACGTCGAATCGATACCGGGGACAGGATATCGAAAACAATCGCGTATCGTCGGTTTTATATTCCTATCGATGGACGATTGAAGCGCGAGCTTGTGAAAATTAAACGAGTCGTTACCGATTAACGAGGGAATAGGTGACGCGTTTGCCGTCCCCTCGAGTGCCACGCCAAAATCGAATGAAAAAAAAGAACGGGGATAATAAACAAAAAGAAGAGACAAAAAAATCGAGGATAAAAGCGGATAGATGTTAACGCGAGGAGCCGATATCGAGACCTCGTCACCAGGGCACTCTATAATAAGGTTGTGATAAGGTTGTGAAACACGTTCGTAGCCGTGCTACGGACAACACAAGATTTTTAATTATTAGGATAGACAAATGAAACATTACTTTATTCGTGGCACTGTCCAACTCGCGACAGCGGGTTTCCTATCCAACTGGGAATTAAACGCGACGCTTGAATAGTTTTAACTGGACGTTAAAGCCGACCTCGACTTTCTCAACGTTTCTTCGCTGAAATTTCGTTGAAATTTTTGTCCTTGATTTCACGTTCACCAAGGTTCTTGCCGTTTCATTATCTTTCGAAGAAAAATTTATCTTCCGTCTGCAACCATTTTTTATCGCTTTACAATCGTGTTAATTCCCTGCAAGGCTAGTCGCGTGTAAATTTAAATTTTCATTTATCTTATGGAGAAAAGCAGCTTATACGTAGTATCGTTCGTAAGTCAGTCGTTAGGTCACGTATGTCCCACGCGTTGTATGGTCCAGCGATCTTTACTCGGAAAGTTACAAATTGCCACTCGAGCTTCATGTCCCATTTCTCTTTTTCTCGCGAAAAAGATTGGGTTGTAAAGAGTTAAGACGACAGTGAATTTAACGAAGTACTCGACTGAAATTGAGGCTGAACTTTACATTCTTCTTAAATGCTCGTAAAAGCAGCGATACGCAAACGAAAGTTCGAATGAAACGCTTATTACAAAGTTTCGTACCTTTCATTTGGATCGGAGATTCAGTCAGATCGTCCTAAGCAACTAATGATTAAAGTGTTCCTCGTTTTTTTTCGCTTTGAGGTACTTCAAAGCGACTGTACGATACTCGTCGGCAAATGAGCTCGCGTTTGAGTTACATGAAATCATCCCGTTATCGATGATTTTAATTTCATGTTTCTTTTAACGATATGAAATTTCAATCATACGTGTACCCCTATGCTTTTAAAAAGACTCGCAATCAACGCGCGATGCCCGCATCGAGGTATTCGAAACTTTTGTAAAACGTTCGCCGATTGATTTTAGTTTTTTATTCCCCGTAGGAGAGGAACAATAGAAACGTGGCAAAACGGAGGTTGGAAATAAATTTCCGAAGAAAGTTTCGAATAAGATCGGTGGCCGATTGATTCGAAATTGCTCGTACAAGCGTGAAAAGTAATTAGAGTGCATCCTAGTTTCGGCAATTAGCAGCTTCCCGAGGCATTGCGTGCTAATTATCTACTTGATTAAAACTTTGATTGAATTCAGAGTCAGCGCATTCTTGAGACGTACACAAGTATCCTGTCTTGTCAGCTTTGGGTATCGTATCGAAATATCTGCAAGTTTGGGTTAATCTTGAATTAGTTCTGGTTAGATTTGGGTTAGATTTTGGTCTGGATTAGGTTTAGGTCTCGTCGGTTCGGTTATCAACTCCGATATATATGCAAGTCCTTGCCTCCGTCGGTTTGCACCGAAATTTCCGCAACTTCGGGGTAATTTTGGTTAGCTTTGTATTAGTTCTGGTCTCGATTCTGGTTTTGACAGTTGCCAATTTTATTTCCATTATCGTAATAAAATTGCAGGTTCTTTTGCATTCATCGTGCTTCAGTTTTTCTGAGAAAAAACTTTTCAACCGGTGGTTTCCTGAAAACAGTTACGTGTTGCAAAGCAATTAGAAAGTTTTTTAAAGGATGCTTTCCGGAAATCGTTTCTTTTCCTCCGTTGCCAGTTGTCTTGACAGCTTACAATGGCCTGTAAGCTTACGTTGTCTCTGCTCGTGGCAGGTCTGACTAATGTCTGACTTGTACTACTTGCTCGATGGAAATCAAACGGCTAACGAACGGCTCCTATCGAATTTATCAACAGATTATTTTTAATGGAAGTAATCATACTGTGCACTATTATTCACACTATCGATCACGTGCACAGTTTCATGACAATTTATAACCGAAACGATGTGAAAGCTTTTCCATAAAAAAATTTCAGGAGTTCAATCTTTAAAGATTATTCTTCTACAATCGATAACCACTTTACTAGTTCTTACCGTACAAGTATCCAAATTACCCATTAGGTAATTGCAAATAGCAGCGTCAGATAGAATTTCAAACGGTCCGACTTCGTTCCACTTCTTTTATCGTTTGATTTTCCAACAGTTTCGTGAGACAGTTTCTGACCACGAAACGACCAGAACAAGAACGACTTTACATTTCGGCTAATTCGAACCGTATATTTTGCCGGCCATTAGAATGCGAGACCGTCCCCTAACGCTTTAACGCGACCGTTTGTACGTTCTAATTACTTTCTGCGATTTACACGATGCACACCTCCGCCAGAATATTTTCCCTTCGTTTCGGAAAACGTCCAGGTCGAGCTTGAACGTCGTATGCAAAGTGTTCTTGGAGAGTTTTGGATGGGAATCTCGGCACAGCGTAGTTATAATATTGTACTACGTTATATATTACATTAAACATTTACTTGTACATCCCGCTGATTCATTTTTCAAGACAAGTTTCGAGGATCGAAACGCGGTACTCTCTTTTCTTTATTTCTTGTAAAGGACCGCCGATTAATATCTTCACAATGATACTCAGGGTGATGATCTTAATAATTAAGAGTTTAAAGGCGGTTCATCGACATTTTCCCCTATTTTTATAGAGGATGACTGTTACATTTTAATATGAATTATTAAAGTTGTCGAATTGGGAGACTTTCATATTCTAAGTTAATCGACAGAAGTCATTGCTCCAAATAAAGCAATTTGCCTATGAAATATCATTGTTTAGACATTCGTTTGTCTTTATTGTCTACTTCGCAGTATCGATCAATTTTTAATTTCCTTCCAACTGCAACTCGATCCACGAAACGTTACGACGATTATACAGGCTGTCTCAAAAAGAATAATCAGAAATATCATACCAGGCTAAAGGAATTTAAAAAGTTCCTTGCTATTTTACTCGTGGCTCTGACATGCACGCGAGACTTGAACTTCCAAGATACTTGTATCTCAAACGCAGTGTATCTCGAACGCAGAGTCTGAAAATGGTAAAGGAATTTTGGATTTATCTTAGCGAAGATCTATTTTTGAGACACCTTGTGTATATGAAATTATTCTGTAAATTGGGCCTGGTCGCCCGATCGAGAGAAACACTACGCTAGATACGTATAACATATACATACAAATATATTATATATATATACACATCTAGTTATTAAACTAATACTCCATTGGTTGTGATTTACAAGTATAGCAATACAGGAGAGCTCGAATCCCATGACCTAGATCGCGCACGGACTTCCCCTCTCCGCTGAATTTATTAGATCAAAACCGGTGTCGCGCTGGTCGAAATTTTTCGACTTCGTGCTCGATTTAATTTGACAGATCTATCTTTTAATTTGTACGCGACTTCCATGGCGACAGAAATATTTCTGGTGCACATCCGTGTATCGTGCACGCAGTATTAGACGCCAATCGAACATTTCTGTCTCGTAAAGTTGTCTGAAAATTCTTGGGAAATATTTCATTAGACCGTATATTAACGTGACGGTATTACATCGGACAACGCGCGAGAAATGCGTACCTTAAATTACAGGAAAAATGTTCCTGTTAATTAAATTTATGCGAGAACACGTCGAAAATAAATTTTTGTTAATGCGTTCGCTATACTGTCCTTTTTAACTCTTTTGAATAATATTTCGGGATGAGATTCTTTATATTCTTTTTGAATTTGTATATGGATATGCGCTAAACTTCAGTATCCATCAGGAGTATCGGTACAAAAAGAGCTGTTAAAATATTTTGTGAGAGAAAAGATTACGATGTTGGACATTTGACATAGATTATAAAGTAGAGGCAAATGGTTGAACCTTCGGAGGACAGTATAGTACAGCAGAAATTTACATTAATTGAAAAAGGAATCGTTGGCGAAGTTAAACAAAAACAATGTAAAGCAGAGGAGAGAGGAAAATGGTCCGATTGAAATTCTAGAAAGCGTGGACCATCGAGCGTTCATGTGAGCCTGCCGCTTGAATGTGTAAATATTAAAATAAATCAATGAACAAAGAAGAAAAAAAAACAAAAGCCGTTCGTGTACGTGTATCGAGTAAAAGCGTGTGGAGTATCGTGTGAATGCTACGAAACATAAATCTATCGAAACGATTGTCCTTATCCTTCGCAAACGAGATATTGTAAACAAGAAGCGTATATCGATAAGACGCACGAAATTTCGCTGGTTCGTCGCAATTTTCCAAATGTTCGACACTTTTTTTTCAATCTCGCATTCGTCGGAATTGAAAAGCAGAGAATGATGTAAAATTTGCATATCCACGTGGAATTCATTCGTTGCTTTTCGACCGAAAGCGACCAGCTTTTCGCCAGCGTAAACCATCATCCGCGGAGAATCGTTTTAATTATTTTCAGACCGAAAGTCTGCGCGTCTCTGATTTCCATATTTTGCATTTCCCGTTTCACGTGGATTAGCCCGGGTCCACCGCGCCGGTTCTCGTTCAATTTCTACGAGACTAACGCTCGCGAAGATCACCGGCCACGAACAAACGCGTGAAACGCGTTCTCGCTCTCTTATCGGGGGTTAAGTCGAAATTTAATCCTCCTTTCTTCCACGCTTTTGTTCGACGATAAACGACCGACTCGATTAAGCCA